ATGATGGGAATGTAACTTGCAGAGGATGTATTTTGATGTCAACGCTTTTTACATATAAATGTTCCAGAGAGGAAGCTCATGGACAACGAGTCTCCTCACCAACTATATATTCAAAACTACTCCTGCGCATCCTCTTCTTGCTTGGTATTGAGAAAATGGATTTTTGATCCCCGTCGAGAGCAACAGCTTTGTCAGAAGGATCCGCTTTTCCGGCAGTTCGTCTTTCAACAAGCAGTCTCTGATGTGAATGAGGTATATACATGCAGGTTTTGTGGTAATACGTAAATAAGGTGGTGCATTTCACAAATGTGTCAGAGGAGCGGTAGTGTAAATAGAGTTGCATTGTTTAGGGAAGGTTGAAATGCTGTCAGAAGCTGTATCAATTGAAGGCGATGCAGAATGAAGGCAATGCCGAAGAAGTTTGTTTTCTCTCCATTCACATCTCATTGTCTCATTATATACGTGTCCTTCTCTCAGTTTTCTTTTCTAGTTTCTGGAAATGTGTCGCAAGATGTCAGGATACAATGAGATAGCGTTTCCACCTTGTACTTGTCCTACAAGGAAAGCTGGAGATGTTATTGTCGTTGTGCGATTTTCCTCTCTCATCCTCACATCTGATCCTCCTAATGATGAGGTAACCATTTTTCGACGACTTCATTTCAGTAGTTCCTAAGAATTACTCAGGGCGGTATGTATCAATCTCCCTTTCGGGTAAATGTTCCCGTACAGGTCGTAACCGAGTCAGACGCGGGCGCCCAAGACCCAGAATCGTGGGCGCATGACACTTTAAGCCCGTTCAAGCACGATCGGGTAGGTCTGCACTTGGTCACCTACCCGATCTATAAATTGTGTGAAATAGTCTCTTTGACTAGGTTGCGGTGTTAGTAAATCGAGCGATTCATTCGCTAGTTAATGAGCAAAATTAGTAACTTCAGTTTGTTGCAAGAGATTTGTCTGCTTGAGGATTAAATTACGAAATATGCTAGAGTTTTAGACCCAGTCTTTCAGTCCGGGCTCTGTCCTTTGTAGATCACAATCAAATCAGAACAACTCCTAAATCCGAGATTGAGTAGGTGACCAGGCGTTGCGGACCTACCGGATTGCGCTTGAACGGCTCTGTCAGACGCCCACGTTCGCGCATCTTGGGCCTTGGGCATCCGCGTCTGACTGGATCACGACCTGTACGAGAACACTTACCCGAACTGGAGATTGATACATACCCCAGCCACATTCTCTAATGGCACGCAAGCATCAAATCTATAACTTTATTGTAGACTCAAGTGGACATCAGCTGGGATGATGTGCTTGACTTTCAAGTGGAAGAAGGCGGCAGGTCTTTTCAGTTCATTTTCAAGAGGGGAGAAAAACGAGCGAAAACTATCAAACTTCTTACTGCTTACGTAAGTTTGTTAACGCTCGCAACAGTTTGTTAGGAACTGTGAGCAAATTGTATAGTTGAACATCGGATTCGTGTCGTTGCTAATATCCCGTTAATTTAGGCTGAGTACATGGGTGAGTGTTTTAACCAGGTTGACTTTGAACGTCGGGTGGCAAACAACTGGAAGTCGTCGAGACGACTCATAAGTGACTCCGTAGAGTCTAATTCGGATCAGAGTACGGAGATTTTGAATGGAGGAGCTTAGTTTTCTCATGATCTTGATGCCTAAATCTAAGACGTTCTTATAGGATGAGTTCACATATTGTATCTATTCCTAGGAGACGGGGACGGGGCTCTGTAGATTCCACTCACTTCTGCTTTAACATCGATCTTTTGCCAAAACTTACATGTATATGATGTGCTCTGGATATCTTGCCAAGTGTGAATGGATGTCCCTCTGTTGTTGATGTACTTACACGTGCCCTCAAAGTGCTGAATAACTCTTAATACCGTCCTCAAGGATATAGCAAGCAATTCTCCTTTCAACTTTACTGGGTTTGAAGATGATGAACATGACAGTTTGACCGCCATATGCACCGCATAATAATACTGATGTAGATGCTGGACGATAAGAGCAGTTTGGATTGCTCTTGATTTATGCATTCAGTGTACTTATAGATTGTTGGTTATTTTACTTTTTGATAAGGATTTGATCTGAGAAGTTTGATTCTCTGCTTGAAATGTATCCTATATTTGTTTTCTATGTGCTCCATTGTCAGGACGGTGCTTTTAGAACATGTATAGTTTGGTTATCTTCGAAAGTTTTATCGGATTTGCAGTTTCATCCACCATGCAGTTTGTTCATTTGCATGTGATTTCAAGAAAACTGTAGACGATGCTTTTCCTTTCCTTGTTCGCGTGTGTAGAATGCGTTGTGCACGTTCATCGTTCTCGGTATACAAGTAATAATTCGGTTGTCTCAACATGTGCAAACTAGGAGTAATACACTTATGCTGCCGTAGGCATTAGCATGTACCCATTGCCTATAAATATATTTTCACCCTATGATT